AGTTAAGAAATATGCTGTTTGTATACTTGGTGGTGGTGGTTATTCTCAGAGTCTGTCAGTGTCTCTGTTAACAGAGCTGGTGGCCGTAAGAGCCGCCTGTGTGGTGCTGAGGTGGATGGAGTCTGTCAGGACAGGAGATTGCTGTAGGTGCAGCTCAGCACTCAGCTGCAATGCAGCAACTCCTGGCTCTCTGCTCAGTCTTTCTGAGGCCTCTTGTGGGTGTTCTTGCTTTACTTTTCTTGACACTTTCTTTCACCTGTCAGTTCTCCAGGTTATTTTCCTCTTACTGGTACGTCCAGACAGGACTCCTTTTTTCTCCTGTGTTTTGACTGCTGTGATGCACATCCCCTGAGAAACGACTCTGCAGTAGAAGAACATAGAAAAACACTGCTCTAATGTTGTCTCGTTACTGCTGTCAGACAGAAGTTCACTTAAGGATGCCAAAGAGGACAGAGACAGAGCTCTGATGTGACAGGAAGCTCAGGCCAGGAGGACAGCAGGCAAGCCAAACACGGCTGAGGAAGCTGTGCGTGGACAGCAGTGAAGGGCTGTGGCAGCAGGTGTCAGGGTGGTGTTCTGCTGCACTGACAGCACTCTCAGGTTTGAGCAGCTGTAGCCAGAGCACATGTACACAGGCAGTCAGCAGAACTCTTGGAGACCAGTATACCTGCATGAAATGTGTGCCTTTGTGTCTTTGCCTTGATGCTGTGCTGCTGCTGTTTTCTGCTTCACCTTCTCAGAGCTGTGAGAGTCACCCTTTCAGCTGGGGACAGGCTGTGGTCTTCCTCATTTCCTATGGCCAGCAGTGGCTTTGCCCTCCATCCAGTGAGGTGTTTGTGCAGAATAATACATGCAAATATAATCAATGGAGGTAAAAAGGAGCTAGGACTGTGTGTACTAACAGAGATGGGTCAGGGATGGGGCTCTCAGGTAGATGATTTTCCAGGAAGGAGGATGTATCAGTGCTGTTTTGCACTGCAGTGTTTCCTATGGATGCTTCTTGTTTATGATAGATTCCATCCTGCTGAAGAAGAGGGGGAGAGACAGATCCTAACCTGTAGATAGATGCTCCTTCAAGATCTATTTCAAAAGCATAATGGTATTAGCATACTCTTTAGTATGAAGAGTTTTCTTTTTTAATGTCACTATTGTAAAAACTTTGAAGTATTTAAATCACTCTCTTGTACCACATGTGTTTGAGAGCAAAATAAGCTTTTAGGTGTGGTGAGATGCTGCTTGTGTGTTCTTCATTTATCAAAGTTTAAAAAGATAAAGCATTTCTGTATCTTGGGAGTCTGGTGGGCTTGCAGCAGGAAGGCAGTTGCATAGTGAGTAATACTTTATCTATGAGTGATTTCGGAGGTAGGAACATGAGAACAGGTGAAGGAATGAGGCGGTCAAGGGATGAGATCGAATGTTCTTTTTTTAGAGCTGCCTCTCTTCTCTCATATTTTTCCTTTCTCTGTTTCTCTATTTTAGTGCTTAACGAAGGAGACTGAAGGAAGTTCAAAAACATAAGACCAAGACTGGGAGTAGATTTGGCTTGCTGGCCTTGTTCTTCAAGCCCTAAGTTGTCCTTTAGAGCAGCACCAAAGTGGGCCTTCAGTTTTATCCGTGTAGCCAGTCAGTCTCCATGAGAGGGCTGTGCTCAGGATCTGGGCTCTTCTGAATGACTGTCAGCTGTCCCCAGCTGACTGACAGGCAGCAGCTGGCCCTGTGCTCTGCCCTTTGCTGGAAGGAGGCCACAGTGTGTGGCCTGACAGATGACAGATCCTAAATGCAGGCTCAAGACAGAAGCGTTTTCTGGGCCATTTCTGTCCGCTGACTCTGCCTGGGTCAGAGGGTTGGGGCTTGTACATGGGAACAGAGAGCACTGTTCTCTTCCAGCTGTTCTTGGGGCTCCAGGCTCATGGCAGAAGGCATTTGGAGCTTTGCACAAAGCTGCAGTTTGGTCTGTCTGCTGCCTGCTGCTCTCTCACACCTGCCATTGCTTTCTTACATGGACACTTGCTGAATTCACCTGCTTGGGTTCCTGTGCTGGTGACTCTTCTCCCTCCTGCATTGCTTCTCTGTCCGTACCAGTTATAGCCCATATTGGTTCTTTGCTGATCATCCATTCCTCGCCTTTCTCCAGTCTCCTTTATAGGTACAAGCGTCAGGAATATCTCAGACTTGTGGTGATTAGGGATGACCCTGAGCTGGGGCTTTGGGAGCTATAGTGGCTTTGGATGGTTAATTTGGAGATGCGGGTCCAAATTGTTTTTAGAACTATGTTTTATTATAATACATATATAAATATTTAGAAATCATAGAAATTATGACATAAAGATGATATAAACTTTTTAAAATCATGATATATGTTGACTGTGCACTAAATATTTTCTTCCCACCCCCAGTGGACTGGCTTGCATGCCGTCAGGGGTGCACAGATCTCATTTTGGAGTCCAGTAGTGTATTTCTCCCAAGTACTTCGTAGTCTGCAGCTATTGAGCCAAGTGTGTCTTCTGTGTTGTTAGCACCCGTTTGGAAGAGGGTTCCACAGGCTGATACCCACAGTGTGACAAACTGACCCCTCCAGTGGTCTGTGAGCCTGACCCCTCTGCTGATGGCCAGGGTTTGCTATTTTGGCAGGGGCAGTGATCACTCAATACCTGACTGTCCTCCCCAGGCCACACATGATTCTGCAGAGCTCTGGCAAATACCCCTTTGGATCACCTTGGATCACCTCTTTCCAGATGAAAAGTCGCAATGTATTTATTTACCTTTACTTCCGTGGATGCAGTTCCATATGCTAAGAATTTCTGTGCCATTCACTGTCCTTGTTTCAGCTCTGCTCTGCTATCCCTGAGCTGCAGGAGCCAGGGCTGCACACAGACCTTCATTTGTGGACACACCATGGCCATGGCACACTGATATCCCCTGTTCCCTCCACTCTTATTTCTTTTCTTTGTGATTTTTTTGACCTCTAGTAACCAGTGGACCAATATTTTCTGGAAGTGTCTGTTTAAACAAGGTTCTGCTGGACAGCAGCTTAGGGCCCATTGCTTTTTCTGTGATTCTTGGGTTGTTTTTCCCCCTTTTGTAATTCAGTTCAATATGCCTTGAACTACATTTGCATCTTCCTTTTAAGCTTTCATTCTGTCTCATAAAGTCCTTCTGCAGTTCTTGAAGCTGGCCTTCGTCCTTGTCAACATGAATAACTTAGCATTACCAACAAACTGCTTCGATTCATTGGTTTTTCCTGGCTTTTTTGGTTCTTTTTTTCCACACGTTGTTTTAAATATGCTGAAAAGGAGATGTCCCAGTAAAAGTTTACATTGCCTTTCTTTTGTTTTCAGAACCAATCACTTTTGCCTCATTTCTGTCCTTTAATCAATTGTTTATCCATAATGGATGCCAGTGCCTCTTGGTTTCCTTAAAAGACTTTGTAGAGGGACTTGGCTTTCAGAGGACTTTTGCTGTATAGTTATTCTTATTTTCATCCTGGTTCAAATGCCTAGAGAGTGTGTGTGTCTATATTTTTGTGTATATGTGGACATATATATATTGATAATTCTCAGATGAGACTAAGCTCACCTCTCTGTTTTGAATTGCATTTTACAGGCAGTCATTATTTTACTGGTGGTTTTCTTTGATGGCTATAAGCTTTTAGAATGCAGAATTAGATTTACTGGGTGTCTTGTGCAGCATTAAGCTTGTGATTTGACCCAGTGTCTCTCAAGAGCATGCAGAAGACAACATAAATGCCAGGGCTTTAGAATGCCTACAGGGGCTGTTGACAAACTACCACATCCATTTCTTTTTTTTTTTTTTTTCTTTTAAAGGCTTGATCAGAGACATGACCTTTTTTATAAAGGATTCGTGTTGCATTATGAGCTTACACTGCTCTCTGGTGTAGGCGAAGTAGAAGGCTCTCAATGGGAAATGTTTATCCTGGTGCTTTGCCTGTGCTGGTTTCTGTCTGCTGCTGCTCAGATCCGCCTGCTCGGCAGTGCAGCGCATGCAGCAGTGTGTGCTCGCAGCAGCAGTGAGCTGCACCGCTGTGATGCTGCTCGGCAGTGCAGCGCATGCAGCAGTGTGCGCTCGCAGCAGCACGTGAGCTGCACCACTGTGATGCTGCTCGGCAGTGCAGCGCATGCAGCAGTG